AACTATGTCATAGTTCGATCTAGGGCATGTGCGAGTTCTGAGCATTATAATTTTTCACATTTTTTCTGGCTCGGTACAATATTGAGGTAATGTAAATGTGTTGAGACAATGATGGTTGAACCTTCTTATTCTTATACCTACCGGCAAATCTCTTTCCCTTGTCGGATTTGCTATCACTGGGAATATCACGTTGAATGTCACTATGAGCTCAGTGGCGTTTGCATAACCAACAATAATACCTTGGTTGATTCAAGTTATAGTTGTTAAAATATGAAAACTTTATATTGTTGTTAGACTGACAACCGAGGACATTGTCTCAGTGGAGGAGGAGGGTCAAGGTAGTCCATTACCCTCAACCTCCTAATCAGCAACAATAGGGGATGATAATCACATGAGAATATAAAAATTTAAAATTAAAAATTATTAAAAAATCAAATTAAGCATGGTTAGTAATGTTATATTTCCTATTCATTTATTATACTTAGCTTGTATTATTATTATAGTTGAATTAGTTCTGTAACTGATAGCTACTGTATAGGGTAGTTAGATAGGACTCTAATCCCTTTAGTGTCTCTGTAACTTATCGCAGTTCGAATTAACGACAATCAGTTTCACTCATCTGGTATCAGTTAGCTAGGTGATCTCTCTCTCTCCTTCCCGAAACTATGTCGACAAACTCTAGCGAAAGAACGGTCACCGCCGCTACACCACCACCCCCGTCCACCCCCAACACCCTAGCCTCGGCTCACCATTTTATATCTATGAAGCTTACCACGAAAAATTTCCTCTTAAATCAAATTTTCCAATCTAAAAAAAAAAGTGCAAATTAAACATGAGATTAATTTTACAAAGTTCAATTGCAATACCTCAATATTTCTAGAAATAAAAGAAAAGATAAAAACGAAAGAAAAAACTTTAATGCTCAGAACCCGAACGGCCCAATACCAAATCTAACTTGGGCCCAAGACTTTGAACATATGTAACTAACAGGCGTTAGATGGGAATGATCGCAAATTATGCTGTGCAGCACCATGTATGGTGCACACGGTTGCAAAAACGACGTCGTTTTGACTAAAAACGCGCGTCTCACTTAAAAAAAAAAAAAAAAATCAAGTTCGATTCCCGACAATAGCATTTTTGTGTGCATGATTTGAATTATATATCTACAAATTCATAACTATATATCCAGAGTGAATGAATAACACAAAATCCAGAATGAATGAACTAAATATCCACAATGAATGGTTCATTCATTGTGGATATTTAGTTCATTCATTCTGGATTTTGTGTTATTCATTCACTGTGGATATATAATTATGAATTTGTGGATATATAGTTATGAATTTGTGGATATATAATTCAAATTATGCACAAAAAAATGTTATTGTCAAGAATCAAATCTGATTTTTTTTTTAAAATGAGACGCGCGTTTTTAGTCAGACGACGTCATTTTTACAAACACGGTTGCACAGCATAATTTGCAAAAGAAAACTGGTCTAATATTATTAGGGCCAAAATATATGAGCTGAAGCCCATCATGGCAAAAGTTGACCTTAGCTTCAAGCCCACTGCACCCTGAATGATGAATTGAAGAACCCCATAACTGTTTCGTTTTCATCTTCTTTTTATTGAAGTGTAGAATAATAACCCTAACTAGGGCAACTATGTCACTTCACCAGTCTGGTTTGACCGGATGATAGTACTCTTAACATGATAAAAGAATACAAGAGTGGGAAACATGTGGGGCTAAAGTATTTGAGGAACTATTGCTCAAAATTCAACCCAAGTACATTAAAAATGATAGAAAAGCCCATTAAATTAAACACTTTGTTGTTATGTTAAAAACCGGTACAAATTTTATAACACAAAATACAAAAAATCACAACACATGACATATAGACATATAGTATAACATTATGGACCCAATTAGATCGAACATATGACATCTCATTTGAGAGAGTGACATAGGTATCATTGAGCTACAAGTTACTTGCATGGTTTTAAATTACTTATTTCAATATACAACATTAGGCACTAAATCAATCGCGCAATGCACTTGTAAAACTAATTTTTAGATCAAACTGGAAGGTGTACACCCAATATTACAAATTTGAGATGTCCGTTATTTGGCGCAATACTGAGATGCCAAATTTATCATCCTCTAAGATTTGCAGAAATTCAACAGGCGGATTGTCGAGAATGATGGTGTCTCTTAGCCCAAACTATATAATATATATACAAACAAATGTGTGACTAATTAATATATTATTATAATATTATCTACATATCAATTAAAGGATGGGTAATTTGACTAATTTCGATACAGTTAGGTCTACATCATCGGTTGAATCAGGTCCAAATTGTTAGAACTAATTGCATATTTAATAGGTTGAATCTCCAACCCTAATAGTCCTCACATTCCAACCTGACAGATCATATGGGAGGATTGCATATTTAATATATGCAAACAAATGGATGACTAATATACAATGTTGTAAAAATCGGCATAGACTGTTGACTAAGTGTTAGGCGTCCCTAGGCCAAGGTGATTTCAGCTCTAGGCGGCTTTTAGTCGGCTGATTAGTATACGCACCTAACTTGGCCGAGTAGTTTTTTTTTTTTTTTTTTGCCTGCTCGGCTTCTGCTCTTCTATATTCCTACAGTCGTGAACTCAACTAACCATCTAACATATGCATTCAACTAGTTTAGAGATTATAACAGTCTAAAAACTCTCAACCCAAAGTGGAAAAAGTGAAAACGATATACTCAAATTAGTCGGCCACCTAGGCGCTAGCGCCTTCTGCAACATTGCTAATATATGATTGTAATATTATCTACATATCAATTAGAGGATGGGCAATTTTGGTCCAATTAAATCTACATCATCGATCATTCATCAGTTGAATCAAACCATATATATAGTTAGAACGTACTAATTGCATATTTAATATATGCAAACAAATGGGTAAACAAGACAACACTTAGTTGGACTTGACATAGAATATATGACAATGAGATCGAATAACCAAGAAATTTTCAATCACGTACTAAACCAACCTTTAATTTTATAAGTTCCCAATCTCCTACCCCATTTAAAGTTCCATCATCTCTAATCGAGTGAGAGGAGGGAGTTTCATTGGAGATCAGACGTGTCTTGTACTTAAATAATTAAAAAAAAAAATTAATATCAACTTTGGTCATCATCATTACTACATACTAATTAACCTAATTCAACCAAACCAAACCTAGTTATGACCACCGAACCAGTCCACCACCCCAAACAACCTAGGACAACTCGATCCCAACCCTAGCTAACAGCACGAATTAACGGAGTTTGGACACAAATATTAGACCCCATCAAATCTTATGTGAGATACCACTTCAGATATTTCCATAAATAGATTAAGAATAAGGATTAAAAGAAGTCCCTTATCAATATATTCTTGGACTAAAGGACCATCCTAATCACCCAGCATTAATTAATTAGCGTTTTGTCCAAAGCTTCAGTGCAGTATTATGTTCTCGATCTGCACTCATGTTAGTTGTTGATGACATTGTTTTAACGTTATATTAACCTCGTTAGTTACAAGATTTGGTTGTTAGTTAATATCTGTTTAGTGTTAACCTTAATTTACTGGTTCGAAGCACGCCAAGAAAAAAAAAAAAAAAAAAAAAAAAAAAAGGTGAAAGGAAAGGTAGTGGGGTGGGAAGGCAACTCATAAAAGTAGAACTTAACAACGTGACAAATGAACAGGTTTTAGTATAGTAGTGCTCTTCTTCCAGTAAAAAAAGCATAATGTCAGTAGGAATATCCCCAGAAAAATACAACCAGCATGCTTCCATAACTCTTCCAATCTTTTCTTTTTCTTTTTTTTTTTTTTTTTTTTTCTTTTTCTCTTCTTGGATTTGTGAGCTCGTATGTAGCTTTATTTGGTCCACATCTCCCCGTACAGAAATCAAAGTCTTTATGTACCCACTCTCCACTTCTCTAGTTGGTACAAAAATGTGGATCAACCTTATATTAGGTTAAAATTGCTGAATTGTACCAGCTAAGTTAATCAGACTGTTGACTTGATAATCACACAAGTTTACAAGTTTAACTCCCAACAGAATTGAAGCAACCTATTGACACTCTTAGTTTGAGCTGATTAGTTATGTGTACACTCACTGCTGGAAATTATGAAATTTCCAACCACCTGAAATGATCTTAATTCTTAAATCAAATCGAAAGCCTTGTTCCGACCACTTTTAGTATCCGAAAAAACCTTTATTGCTATTTCCGATCACTTTTTGCTTTCAACTTGATATAAGAGCACTTTCAGGTGATCGGAAATTTCATAATTTCCAGCTGTGACTTAGGGCTAGGCACGAAGATGATGCAATATTAAGTTACTACTATACATTCAATTTTGTTAGAATTTTCACACAAATTAAACAATGAGTATATATGTATAAACAGATTTTCAAAGGTAGGGTCACTTAATTTTGAGACTTAGAATAACGTGAAAGTGCCGGAGAAGTCCATTTACACATACAATTTGAAAGTGGACTGACATAATGTGGTGAGAAACTGAGAAATTGAGAATGCATGGGACCTCTCCAGACCAGCCTTCAACCTTAGTCGGTGTGATTACACTTACATGCATGAATTTGGATATGTTTTTCTTAGCATTTAAGCATTGATTACTGCAAGAAAGTCATATGAATCCGCCGCCACTTTGTGTTTTTCACATGTTAATTGTCTACTTCATGACCTGCATGTATCACACACTCTACTATGTACTTCCTATGATCTGATCTCCCATGTTTTCCGGCCTTCATTTTACTAATGTTCTTATCTTCTTTCATTAATCATGAAAAAAAAAAACACAAAAATATCCACACATCCATCTTCACGTGCAAATTCTATATGCATAGTTGCATACCCAATAATAATTTGATGATTAATATGTAATCAATATCATAATAAGCACCAAATTAAAATAAAGCCAACAAAAATGTAAAACATAAGGCAGCGTGTTCTTAATAACGTAGTACCATATCCAATTAACAAAGTCTCCCTCTTTCTCTCTCTGCTATACCAATATACCCCCACCCATTCCCCTAAACTATAACAAGAATCTTGAAAATGAGAAAAAGAAGAAAAGAAAAAAAAAAAAAAAAAAAAGGTTAATGGGTTCCTCGTTACAAGTTCTTGTGTTATACGAGGAGTCCAACAAGTAAAACCCCCAGACCTAATACACAGATTGAAACAGTACTTAGAGAATTGAAATATACGTAATGCATATATACATATAGCTAGGAATATTAATTCAAACTAACTAATAACTCACTTGAATTAGAAGTTGTTTCCCAAATTTAACTCTTCCGGCGGCCGGCCGGCGACTGATTCTTGATCTGACGGGAATAATAAAAGGATCTGAGGTTCCTCTCAGCGCAAAGATTCCAACTTTAATTTTTGTTCAACCTCTGTTAGCAAAAATTAACATACAGGCTGAAGAATATATATATTTGTTGCAGCTGACATGATCACTCAGATCCAATCTCCTCCCATCTATCTATGTATGAAACCTTGAAATTTTTATATTCCCCTTTTGACCCCCATCTGTTGCTGTAGCCTTCAAATATGGTAGAAAGAAAGATGAACCAAAAAAGCAAAAGGAAAAAAAAAAAGTAAAGAGACCCAAAGTTAATGAAAGAGGGAGATAACCAAGATCAAGCCAGGAAGCTAGAAAAGATAGATCATATCAGAGAATTGAAGGGACTGAAGATCCTATATTAGAAGGATCAAACCAAGAACCACCATTATTCCATGGAAGTGAAGGATTATCAGAAGAAGAAGTGTTGATCTGTCCTGTCTGGTTCATGATCTGATAGTGGCTAGACAAACCATTATTATTATTCCAATTACTTAACCTGTTTTGACCATCACCTTCCATTTTCACTTCTTTTGGCATTTCCCCACTGCCCATATTCCCACTTCCCACTTGCATCTCTCCATATGGTGACAACCCATGAAACCCATTATTGTTTGCCCCTTGATGAAGGCTTGAAGCAATCAAAGAAGCCAAAGTTGAAGTGGAGCTAGAAGAAGAGCCGCCATGGTAGCTAGAAAGAAGAGAATTATTTGAGGTATTATTAGCAAACCCATTTTCACCACCCAAAAGTCCAGAAGGAGAAGAAGAAGAAAACCCTAATCCCATATGGTGATGATGATGATCATATCCGGAAATGGTACCCTCAAAGTTTGAAACCCTAGAGCTGAACAATCTTGGGAACGAGAGGCCTAGCTCAGAAGGGGTACTAGTGGGAAGCCCATAAAGCAAAGGATTAATATGATGATTTTGAGCTGAAGAAGAAGAAGAGAGATGATGATCCATCTGGGCTTGCACTTGCAGATTTGGAGTTGAAGATGAAGAAGCTGAGATATGGTGATCATGGGTAGCTGACGATGAAGCTGACGGCGGCGCCGCCGATGGCCTCTTGATTCGCTTGTTCTTCCGGCACCCTCCCCCCACCGGAACATTCCTCAAGGTCCCCCCTCTAGTCCAGTACCTCTTACAAGCCTTGCAGAAGTGCCTGGGCTGAGACAAACTGTAATTATTGTAGTAACAAAATTTAGTGTTGGATGAATCACAACGTGGGCATTTCAGAGCTTGTTGGTTCGGCGGCGGCGGCGGCAACGCTTGATCTTGGCCGTTCATTGGTTTCTCCATAACCCTAGCACCACTCGACCCCATCAAGCTTCTGCCATCTATCTGATTCTTCTGCACCAGAAAGAGAAGAAAGAAGAAGAAGAAGAAGAGGTTCAAGATTGGAGCTTTAAGGGTAAAAATAACAACACAGGAATGAATATTCTGATCCAAAAGCTAAGAAACAAAAAATGGTTTTTCCTTTTTATTTTTCTTTTTGGACGTCTAATTATTGAGAGAGATGGAAGAGGGGATGAACCTGATGATGATGCAGTGGCCATTCATTTGCAGTGGAAGAGATGACTGCCATCTTCTCATCACAATTACTTCCAACCATATTTATTTTCCTCTCTTTCTCTTCTCCACAAAGGAATCGTTTGAAAACCAAAGAGTATGAAGACAAAAGGCAGGTGGCGACTTGCAGTAGTGCGTGAGTCTTCTGGTTGACACCCTTAGACTCGACCCCGCCTTTAGAGAGTTAGAGAGAGAGAGAGAACTAACCACACTTCAATTCTTCCATTAATTTAAGTCCCCCTTTTTTTATTGCTAATTTCACGTGAAGGGTTTGGTCCGTCATAAACGTTAATCACTTTAGTTTTTCTACTCTAGCTACTTCATTATGTAGACCATAGGCGGCAATGAAATTACACTTTAGTGAACACTTCTTACGTTCAATATATATATATATATATAGTACTTCAGACCTTCCTAGTTAGCCGTGCGAATTGCACCATTAACTATGCATAAATGATATATACACTATTTCAAATGCAAACAGATCTTCCCAGACCATGTGACCGTACGAATTGCCCGCATCATTAGGTATGCATAAATGCACTGAAACATATTCAGAAATGCACAAACGCACCATAAAAATGCACCACAGCCTTGACGTGCAGTCATGCACCATTAAATATGCGTAAATGCACTAGTACATGTTAAAAGATGCACCAAAGTGAAATATACAAATACACCACACTCTGGTGCATTTCTCAACACGTTGTAGTGCATTCTTGCATACCTAGAGGTGACATGACCACACATTCGCACAGGAGAACATGACCGCACGGGAACCAAACCATATATATATATATATATATATATATATATATATATATATATATATATATATATATATAAATAATTAGTATATCAGTGTTGTAAAAATCGCGTCTAGACGGTTTCAGGACGCCTAGCGATTTTTCTACCTTTGTACATAGAATAGAGAATTGGGGTGGAAAACATGAATTCTGGGAGCAGGAAGAGGACACAAAGGTAAAGCAAAATAAAGGAAGAGATGACAGATGAATCTTTGAGGAGTTCAAGAAAGCAGTAACAATTTACTAAAAACATATAATAATGTACAATGCACAAGAAAAATTCCTTTGCTACATTCCAGTGTTAAATGTAGTCATACTTGGGGCGGGGGGATATGTGTAAAGGGAATCCCTAAGACTTCAAAATTCGAGGCGGCTGGCTACATCCAGATTACAGTACAGCAAATCCCACTTTCATCACATCACCACCCCAATTTCTTCATTTCTTTATCTTAGCTTATACGAATAATAATCAATTTGAATTATTATATTATATTATATTATTATATTACGCGGTATATAATTATATTAGAGTATACATGTGTATATATATGAGTTGTGGTGCAGCCCTAGGATAAATCCCACTTTGATTTGCATCTATATATATATATATATAGTGTGTATATATATATATATACTATATCATGATCCGATGTAATCTACCTATACTATGCCCTAGATGTGCTGTCATCCAATGACATATTATATATAATTTTTGAACCCTATTTCAGCTTGCAGCATGGCCTGGGAATGTATTCAGCCTCTAATTTGGGGTTTCTTTATCTTCATTTTGAGTTTTGACAATATATTTAGAAAGGAAAAAAAAAATACTTTTTATTATTACGTATGTACGTGTCACATGTACTGAAGGATGATAGGTGTTGGATAGAACGTAACAGATCAGAGCAAAGCTGAGTCCCACACCTATCAGGGTTAGCTTTTTCCTCTTTTGTTGCTAATGCAAAGTGAGTTGCGGGTGCGGGGGTCGCGTCTGCTTGGTGCGGTAGGGGTAATTTTGTAACGTACATGCTTAGGATTGCATATAAATATGATGCTTGACTGCTTGTAATCTCTAGATTTTTGACCATCATAATTAATAAAAAAAAAAAACAGCTTTGCTTCGTGAACATCCCGTATATAATTTTTGTTTTCTTTACTTTCTGTTATTATTTTCAATTCTTGTTCTCGTTTATCTCAACATTATTTATTACGAGATATTATTCTAAAGACTAATTAAATTAAACTTTAAAATTTTAGTTTGGTAGAATGTGTGTGTATAGAAGAATTGAAAAAACTTCAGTGCCTTTAGCTCTGTTGCCGACTTGCCATTAACCTAAAATAATAATCGAGGGTAGTTTTAGAGAATATCACTTTTTTTCCTTATTTTTCAGTTATTTGATATGGTCAAAATATCACAGACTCAAAATTTAAAAAGTGAAATGTGATTAATTTCTTCAGTATATATAGCTACGAATTCGAACTTTTTCTCGAATGGTCATTTTAGTAATTTTACCTGATTTAGAACCTACGAATGTTATACATACTTGTACTTATAGACATACATCTTATCATTGACAAAATTAAGGTAGCCTGATCATGTGACTAACAAAAATGATTATCAGACAGTGCAAGAAATGAAAGACCAGAGTAATTAGAAATTGTTATTTTGTCCAAATATACATCCATATTGCAGTTTGTACAACTCACAAATATATTTCAAATAAAAGCAAAGGAGAGAGAATTAAGTTTTGTGCCTTAGCCAAATATGTACACTGCAACAAACCCCATGAAACATTCCAAGTATAGACAAAGTAGTAGAGTTTGTGGCACCTTCTTTCATGCCAACAAGTATTTCAATTGCCCTAGCTTCTATCTAATAGAGTGTTACGTTATTATTATATAATCTGACAAGAAAATACATCGATGCCACGTCAGTATATATATATATAAGATGATATTGTGAGAAGTGTGTACATATAGAGCATGAGAATAATAATGCAAGGAATTTTTGCAGTTTGCAACAAAATAAAACTGTCCAAATTATCTTGTCTCATCCCAATTATTGATACTGAAAATTCCAAAAGAAAGTGACAGCATGGGATGGAGCTAGCAACAACGTTAAGCAGATCGGTCTTTTATTCTGCTAAAACAGATACTATATTGTAGTAGAGTTGGTATTACTAAAAAATGTTTAAAAAAAAATAAAAACATAGAAAATGAAAAAAAAAAAAAAAAAATCATAAACGGGCCATGTGGTGGCAGCTCATCGCAGGAAGAAAGCAAAAAAGCAGATTAAAGGCAATGGTTAATGTGGGCGGGGAACAAAAGGATTTTGTAGTCTCCCAAGGGATTTTGTCATTCTCCTAATCCTCCATCATTACACCTCTTCATCTTCCTTAATTACTACTTTACTATAATATTAAGGACTCTAAACATTTTTTTAGTTACCCACTATTATCATATTTTAACCATGTCGTCCCATCCTTGTGCTTTGAAATGTATTTTGTGGGTAGCTTTATTAAAGGCCTTTTGTCCCTACTGTACTTAGGTTCGTTAGGTTTGGGCACGCAATGCATGTATGAATAATGTTTCATCAGGGCCACATGAACAACTCAGTTGGTCGAGGTGGAATTTGAAAACAATGACTCAGGATCGAGTGTCACTAGCGATAGTGTGAGAGTAATCTCTCAAAGTGAAGAGATTTCTTGTACGCCAGTAAACAAAGATCTAGCCTCTGTGTTCAGTTGAATTACTATGATTTATATCTTCCTAAATGTTCTGTCGGATCCGAGCGTAGAGACCCTTGAAATTGAGGATTCAACCTGTTGGAAACAACAATAGTGCTCCATTAGGTCTCTCCAATCTACACACAGTCACACACACACAAAACAATAAAATGGTAACACCGTGTGACAATAATCTAGTACTAATCGTATCATATTAAGAGCATATAATAAGTACATAGGTCCAACCCACTTCTCCACCTCCCCCAACCTGGCAATGGGACAAGAGATTCCTAATTGGCGAACATGAAACAAACCAAACGCGTACGTTAAATGATTTTTTTTTTCTTTTTTGGATATATTGGGTGGCTCCGTCGATCTCCAACTGAACTAGTTACGCAGGACTATTTTATTTTGATATATTAGGTTTTTCAGTTTACGCTAGTTAAAAGTCTCTAAAAATTTCTGCCCAAAAATCACTGGATGACGTAAATCACAAGTCGCCCAAACAACCTCCCAATCAATCCATGTCATTAACTCTGCGCACAAGGAATTCAACCCGACACTTTCGCCAACTTGGGGAGCCCTAACTCCAAGATGTTGCTGGTGGGAGTCAATCGAACTCCCACCAGCCTCCCAGTCAGTCTGTGTTGTTGACTCTGCGCACAAAAGATTCATCTCCACACTTTCCGTCAATTTGGAGAGCCCAATTGCCTACTATTTGACGGTGCGCACAAGATAAACTTCACTCCTGTGTAATACTCCGCAAACCATATGTAAAAAATAAAACACATTAAGAAGATCATGTGCGTGACGAGATGATGTAACATCCCGTTTTGATACTACCCAGTTCAACTTACATAATTGTAAGACCTCGTCGGGAGTTACAACCTTACATTAAAATTTATGATGTACATAAATTAGAAAGAGGTTTTTGTATTTTGAACTCCCCCCCCCCCCCCCCCCCCCCAAAAAAATTGTTAAAAGAAAGAAATAAAAAATGAAGGGAGCATCAAACCCAATCCAACTAGTACCTACCAAAGGCTGGGCACACCCACCACTGCGCATTGCACCCCAAACAATGTTCAGACAAAGATTTCTACCCAACTCCTTTTGTTTTTTAATACTTACTACAAAATACTATATACTCAATAATTTTCTTCACGCCATCATTTTTTTTTTTTTTCCTTTGGTCCCTCTTAACTATTTGATAATAACATGCAACTATGCCTTTTCGATGTGATTGAGATTCCTTCCCTACTTCTTCTATAATCATTCCCAATCTCTCTCTCTCTCCTCCCCACCCCCTCATTTCAATAATTTCAATTTTACCCATAAATTTGCATGTAATTTTTTTATGTTATGATAATTTTGAATCCGCGCGCTTTGATCCAATCTGCATCCACCAAAAGTATATGGGATACGGATCCATTTAGTGAATATCTACTACTAATATAGATTTAGCTTCCCAAATTACGATTAATTTCAAGGTATACAGTCGAAGACGTGATCCTGTAGTCTTGCAAGTCCTAGATCGAGTTCGTATCTCTACTCAATTGAGCACAATGAAATCGGTAAATAAGTGGGTGTGACCGGCGATTTTTGTTGTGATTTTAGGTCCAAAAGTTCCCCTCACTAGCAGTTAATGATCCTTTTAAAGGCTAGGTAGGGCGAACATGCCATGTTACTGGCATATCTTACACGTGTTGGACATAGATCGGGCGGTTAAAATATTTTTGGGTATATTCATTTGAATAACATATATATAA